TTTTCATTGGTTTATTTATTAAGTTACAACCATTATTGTTTGTGCATTTATTTTAATAAATCCTAATACATTCATTGTTCATTATAAAAGTCTATCTGCAGCTTCTCACGTCAATCACACATTGTAATAATTCTACTGTTTTGAGTTGGGACTCTAATATTTTTGGACTGTTAATTCACAGCACTATTTTGTTCTGCATGCAACCATCATAGCATTTAGTTTTTCACAATACAGCAACAATTTTATAATGTTAAATGGCTACCTAAAAGATTATACACAATAGCCATTTTGAACATTTAACACAAAGGTCAGACCATAGGAACACCCAAAACCAAGAGTGGCAAGGAAATGGATTTTTATTCAGCATGACACAAATTAATACTCCAACAGGCAAGGAGGAGGAGGAAACAGACTGAGAGAGAGAGAGACAGACAGAGGAAGAGAAAATGTCAGGGAGGAGTACCTTGGTTGAATCAACATTAAAAACAAGATTCTGGATAAATAGTTTAACCTTGTTTAAGAGATCTTGCCATTCTGATTTCCTTCATAAGGAATCCACAGACTAAGGACATTCTCTCCTGGAAAGGGATGCATTTTTAGAACAGGGAGAGAGACTTCCATTCGCCTTGGAGCAACAGGATTTATTGGAAAAATGTTCACAATGTTGCAAATGAAATAATTAGTAAAACAGCAGATCTTCTTACCTGAAAATGCACAAAACACATCTTGCACAACATTTTCCAGTCTTCCTTTTTTCTAGATGCAAATACCCAAAATAAATATTGAAACTGTTCAAAAGCACAGCAACCACTCACATGTGCATCCAACATGTGCAGTTACACCCCTGACAATCTTATTTTTTGCAAGCGTCTATTAAACACAGGCATTCATATTTCCAATTCCACCAAAGCAGTTTCTCATAACCATAACTTCAGCCTATTATGTTTTCATTATTAGTGTTGTATTAGCATTGTTTTGTATACATACACAGTTTTCAACAAGAACTAACTCACATAAATTAGGTCCAAATATAAATTGTTCCCACAAATGAAGGCACATTTTCTTTTGGTTACTGCAAGTGATAGGGACATTAAAGGGATACAAATAAAAAGACCAACCACGAGGGAGGTAATTGCTGTTTATAAAGTGTTTGATCCCAATAGCTGATCCAAAACTTCAGAACATTTAAATGGTAGGTATGAGACCATAGTTTAAATTAATCAATTGTGTTTGTATGTATCCCACTGTAAACTAGATATATGCAAATTTGGACAAAGAGTGTATACTGTAATTTATTAGCAAGAATGGCAAGAAGCAATGTGAACTGTATATGTATATATGTATATAATTAAAGATCTCTCAATCAACAGGTAATATAAAACACAAACACTTTATGTTAATTTTATGGATATTCTCACAGATAAGGCTTTGACTTTATAACCTGTATGCAATTATTAAATGTACTCAATTATGTGAATTATGATGTCAGAAACCAAATACCAAATAAATCCACATACTGCAAATGAATAGCATGAAAAGTAATGTAATACAAAGGTGACACCCTCTGCCATGACGTAATACTGACCTACAGTATGTTTAGATTGTTAGCCACCATGGCATATTTTTATCTGAGAGTGCTCTAATAATGATGCCATTCACTGAAGAAATAAAAGAGAAAAACAATTAACCAGTTTTTGAGAATACATAGGTAGGTTCTAGACATACTGCACTACAGCTTTCTGTGTATGGACACAGTGTTGCTAAGAGAATAAAACAGGAATATCTTTCTTGCTTTGATCACATTTATTTAAGACAAAGCCCAATTATTTTGGGATATTCAATTTCTATTTTATTTCCTAAATATGTCTTCATACTTGAAAGTATGCACATTGAAAATATTACTACTGTAGCATACCAGAGACATTTCCTTTATAATCATAAAGTGCTGCATCAAGAGCAAATTTCCATGTGCAAACAAGTCTATTATTTGCAAATCTGCACTAAGAACAATGAATATGGATGCAACATTGTTTCTGAAAAGTCAAATATTTGCCCATACAAAAAAATCATAGATACACTTCACTCCTAATGTTTTTGTAGGAAATAAAACAATATTAAAAGCAACATAGGACAGACTAAATTTGGCCAATAACATGACATCATCAGCACTTAAATGTATATTTGATGTAACATTTTATCTACATTATAGTTTCCATTATTAGTATTATAATTTGTCTCACAGCTGCATGTACATGACCGATAAAAAACGGGTGAAAATCCAAAGAACCCTGGATGAATCCCAAAGAATCTCATATATATCAACACCAGACACAGAACACTTGTTTCCACTCAATTTAGAATGACATGCATACAGTATGTCCTAGCACTGGGTACAGGACCTGCACATCTACAGTATTTTGGTAGGTAGCTAAGTGCCTTATTCTGTCATACATAATTTTATATATATATATGTATATTTTGTAGAGTATTTGACAAATATAAAGCATGAAATGGACACATTTTATAAGAGTTTACAAAAGGTCAAATGTTTTTTTTTTAATTTCCTGTTTGAGGATGGCCACTCAACAAAAATATGATTTACACAGAAAAAAAATCCATACAATGTGAACGTTCCATCGTTTGATTTTCCCTGCTTGCAACTTAGTGTTACCTAAAAGGGTCTGTGACATAAAAGATTCAGAGGTCCAGTGGATGTCTAAGAGTGCATGCTGGTGATTACATTTCATTTGAGGGAAAACAATTATGCAAATAACAGGCATTTAAAAGGTGGTTTCAAAAACTGAAAGTGATTAATTCCCATCTAGGAAATGTGTCCTCTGAGTGTCTGCACAGATGCATATTATCACCAGAGAAGTGCACCTACTGTACATACTAAAATCATTGTGGCATACCCAGCACTAAGACAGCTACTGCCTTCAGGGCTGATTCTGTTGCACTCACTTGGGTTTGTGCTGGGGAGAAAGAGCAAGACTGACATACGAGTGTGGGTCAGAGTCCTTGGTCACAGTGGGCATACAGGATGGAAGATGTAGCTATTTGTTATATCACTCTTATTGTAAGCCTTACCACCACTGAGAAAGCACACATAGTCAAAGACCCATCCGTCCAGTCTAGCTCGTAACAATACATGCTTTAAGCAACCTTTTTTAGCATGACTGAAATCCTGAGTTTTGTTTTTCTTTTATTCTTACCCACTCTTATTAAAAACCTGCCTATTCTGTGTTTCATAACTTAAACATTGCTTAATAGATACACTAGTATTGTCTGCAAGGAAATTATGTTTTAATTGAAAAGATAAGAGATGAATGAATTAGCACAAGAAGGTTTAAGATTTCATCGTCAAAACACACCCAAATAGCCATAATTATCAAAAGCATCACCCTAATAGTTAATTTGACTATAGTATGAAAATACAATTTTAAAGAAACTTGTTTTCTGTTCATCAATAAATTATTTCCAATCTTGCTTTATAAAATGAGAATTCTATTTTTCTCTCAAAAAAATATAAAAATATTGCTTTAAAATATGTTCTCATACCGTCAGTATGAAACATTTATCAAGATCTGTTTCTTTCACCATTTGTGGTTTTCCTTTTTCTTACGACCTTACAATACTGAGCCATCATGATCTTCAAAAAGTAACAGAACTCCAATAGGGTTTGACTGCTGTCACTAAGCCAACTACTTCACTGCTCAAATCATGAACTACTACTGCCTGCTCTGTGCGTTGCAGAAGTAGTTTCATGCATGTATTTTACTTTGTAATTTTTGCTAATGCTATTAAAAATAAAAAAATAAAGAATTAGGGTTCTTTACAGAAACTTACAATTGGTCTAGTGGTTTTATCAAGAGCTTGTTGAGTCAAGAACATGCTGTAATCCGTAAAGCATTCACAACCTTGAAATCATAGTAAAAACAAGTGGCGCATCCTGCACGCAGTCTACCACAATTACATTGTAGCAAAATGACTCACTTGATTTTTTTTTTGCTTGAAGTCTCCGCTAGTAAATGAAGGGCCCATCTAATTAAAACCAGATGCAAAGATTGGCTTTGTTAACTTGCAGCGAGGGGGCAGGACATGAAATGTGATTGAGAAAAAAATGTCTGATCGTAAAAATCATACTTACGAATTGAGAATTATAATGCCCAGTATGAGTTTAAGATTTTATTTTAAACACAGACAGACACATAAACTAAACACCTAACCTTAAAATAAATAATTCTGCGTTGATAACGGCAAATTGGCCGTTGCAATTATACTGAAATGACGAAAAGCAATTATTTTTCCAATTTACTTCGAAGTACTTGGAAATGTTTACATTTAATGTACTTGTGCTTTCGCCCGAAACCTTGGCTTTAATAAATCATTCTTACACTGAAATACAAATATATATTTTCAGCTGTCAAGAGCTGTCGTGACTTTATAATTTCAAACGGATCTATTTTTAACAATAATACAAAGAGGCATCAAAAAGGCTGAATTCAAAACAATATATGAAGCATTGTTTTATAGAAGTGTGATATGAGGTGGTTTTGCTTTAGTCACTTTGTTAAAAAAAACGCACGGTCACGTCCCTGTACACGTAACATGCATCGTGTCAACAAAAAATAATAAATCTTACGCGCAGATGTGGAGGTTTATGTGTCTGTGTATGTATTGGGTGGTGGTGGGGGGCATGAATGATTTTAAAAAAATATGTATATGCCTCTTTAAAGTAAATAAATAATACATACATAAGGCATATAGAGCAATCGTGATTTCGTAAATATAAACTTAAAACACGTTAATTTTCTTTAAGACACTTCTTTAAAAGCAGAATTTCCCAAACTGATAAAACTGTATATTTTAGATAGCTTTACTCCTCAAGACCTCAGCGCATCCCCAAGCCTTTTCGTTCCTCTCACCTTTTACTGTGAAAAAGTTGTTTTTCAAGTCAGCAGCATTTAAACAAACATAAACCCCAAAATAACACCACTAACCTCTTTGAGTTCTTTTGCTACATCCTTCAAGTCGCCCAGGACAATTTCTAGATCCTCCACAATTGTCTTGATCTGCTCTTTTACCTTGGCTTTGGAGGCTGTTCCCTCTGACGACTCTGCCTTTGATTTCCCTGACATTCTTGGGTACAGGTCAGGAGATTTTTAAGGATCACAAATAAATCCCTTCGCCACAGTGAGAAAAGTGTGCCCCTGCATTTTTAGGGTCTGTGTTGTACACTTTCCTTCACATTGAACAAAACTGTACTGAGCCAGGGCTGCAGAATCCTGGCCAGCACGCCTGCGCGAGAGTCCATATCAAAATTAGAAGACAAAATAAAAATTAAAAGATGCGGCTGAAGTAATGTTACATAAAAAATCCTCTTCTCTGTGCACTCCATTGCATTTTGTATGTAAAAAATAACAGATCCACTTTGAATCCAAAGGGGGACCGTTTCTTTCCCTTAAGTCAGCCCGAAGTCCTGCATTTTTCTTGATTTAAGAAAATCTATCTACTGGAATCAACAGTATGAAGTACTATTTTCTTGAACTGAGGTAGGAGAGTGAAGAAAAAAGACGAGTATCCAAAGATGCGCAGATAATTAATGCAGAAATCACCCTTCTTATAATCTGATGGTTCCCGACTCTTACCTTCAGTTTAGGTAATGCATGGCAAATGTCCACATCAAGCATTACAATACCTGCTGTACTTCTTGGATTATCTGTATTTTCCTAAATCACCGTGGAAGAAGTAGTTATGTAAACAACTGAATAGTTTACAGATGCAGCCATTGTTAATAACTAAAATGAACTAATTTGATAAGACAGTTCACACGCATAATGCTGCTGTGAAGCGGCGCCGATACAATTCTAGTGTTCACTCGATATTTGACGGCAGAGATTGAGATCATCTAGTGGTTACTATTAAAATTGCAAGGAAATGGTTCACAACATTAACTAGTCGCCTGCTTTTTAGTTTTTGTATATACATAGACCCTCTTTATTAAGATTTCGTCTCAGCGCTCTCCCCTCACATAAAGAGCCCATGTCTTTCTATACTTCGCTTTTGGATATACTGTAGCAAAGCATAGTGTTCCAAAGAAGCTTGCAAAAACTAATGACACTGGCGCCGACTCAGCGCCGATGATAGTGCTACTCATTTCGTGGTAGTGCCAACGCTTTTCTTCATTATCCCTCCGACGGTTTTTTAAAAAAAACATTAGCTATCAAACGAGAAATGAATGGGCAGACTATCAACCAGTGTGGGATTTAAAAATACAAGGTCGAAAACACTTTAAAATATATATTCCTAACCCATTAGTGGACAAAATTCAACGTAAATCGCCCGACGTTGCTTGTGCATTTATAGTGAGCGCCATAAAAGCAAAAACAAAAAGCAAAAAAACATCTGGCTTTCCTCGACTTGTATTAAAAACGGTCCCTTGTTACCTTTACGAACACGAAAATGCACTACTTAGTTGCACACCAGAGGCACTAAGCAAGGCAGACGCGATTACACTGCTCTGAGACTGTAACCTAAAATAAATTGGCATTCACTTTGCACAACCTTGAAAAGGTCTGATCTACAGTATAAGTTAGGAAAGTTACAGTAACTGGAAGGATAATTATGTTGTGTCATTTTGTCTTAAAACATTCCAGCAAACATATAATTGCACGAATTTCATGTCTGTACAGTATAAATTGATATTCATATTAATGTAGCTTGTTACTGTATGTAAAATATGAATTACAGTGATGTAATTTGAAAAATATTTGTTATAAATAAGCACGTACTGTACTGCACATGCTGAAATTACAACTGGATCGTTAACTAGATTATATATGCAAATAAATGCGAATAGGTATTGGTTAGAAGTATACTGTAGTTCCTACTGTATATACAGTACAGTACTGTATGATTCTTTTTACTATGCAAAGATAATGCAACAATGTATGTTTAAAACATAACTTGTTTTAAACATAAATTGTTTATAACATAATATGTTTCATAGTGTAAATGTCATACTGTATATAAAGATCTGTTATATGTGTTTGTTAGATGTTTTTTTATTGTATATAATATAGATTTGTTTGATGGATTTCGTAAATCAATACACTATAACAGTACAGTCCAACAGTTTTTAAAACCCTGACAAGTATAGAGAACTGAAAAATAATTTCATTAGAAGCGTTTTGGTGGTTCCCGATTCTGCAACTCCATGAAAAAATGTGGATTAATCAAATTCAATTAATTATGTAGCTACTGACTGCTGTATTATTAAAAATGCTTCTCTTCCTGATTTTTAAAAACAATTTCATGATTGCAGTCAAGACATTTTATCCATACTAAATTATGCTTAGAAAAAAATGGTCTTGATAACTTGATGAAGTGAGTCTAAGCACTTAATAAATGCTTCTTTTGAACCCAGAAATAAACAACACAAAGCAGCAATATAGAAAAAAATATTTAATATATAATATATATATATTATGGCAGATCTTATGGTTAGCAATGTATGGAAATGAGAAACACAAATCGTAGACTTTTATGACTGGCACTAGAACCAGTGTGGGTGGGTGCAGTGAGAAATCAGTGCTTTTAACAAGTACAAAGGTAGTGTAGCAAGAATGTTAGGCAGCTAATAAGATTTTGTGGGTGTTTAAAAGGAAATTAGAATGCTTTGTGTTAATAAACAAGTTACATGAGCCACAACGGAAGCACGGGCAAAAGTGTGTTTGCTCTCTATTTCATGTACTGAAACTGATATACAGTACTTCAGTAATACATTTTAATATAAAACAACATGCACACTTATTAAAAAGATAACTGTTTCTGTGTGACTGATTGTTATTTATACTCTAATTTTAACACAAAACACAGACAATTGTGTTATGTAATATAAAAATGTTGCTTTCAATCTGAAACAAGCTTCACAAAAGTTTTTGTTTTAGATTCTGATACCATCTCCTGCTTCATCTCCAGTCAACACATTAGATTTGGGTTATGAAAAGCACAAGAACATTTCTTTTTTGATATTTTTAAATACAAAATGCTTCTGTGTTATCTTTTGGTTGTACTGCAAAAAGCCCACTACTCTATACAATATAGCAAAGTTGTAAAAATAAGAAATAATATATAATAATATATTAAGTTATAAATATTAAGTTTAATTGTTTCCAAATAAGAGGTGGCCATTTGCCTCATCATATCTGACTGTTAACTAAAATCTTACAGATCATGGGATCCACTACTTTTTGAACAATTCAAGAGAGTTTGCTTCAACAATATGAATTGCTAGTTTGTTACAACTTTTTTCTATGTATCCCTAATATTTTGTAACGTTTTAACCCCACATTATCTAATCTACACACACAGTTTACACTCCCATCACATAATTGTATAACAGAAATTTAGGAGGAAGATCAGATCCTGATCTCACCTACTTCCTCTTCCTACATATGTATCTACAGTATACACCTTAGCTTCCCTTCTTGCATATCTTACACACTACCCTTGCCATTCTATCTTCACTCTTGTGGCAGCTCCAGAGGTCATTCCTAGCAAAAGGGAGGGTGGGTTTGGTCAGACTCATCTTTATGGAATTACAGCCATTCCTTCAGTTTAGGAAGCCATGCCAAAACAACTCAAATACATTTCATCTCTATTTCACAATTACATTAGGATCTGACCAAACTAGAACTACCAAACTAGAAATAGCTCTAGTTTAGGATTGCAGTTCAGGGAATATTAAATCAGTATTCCACATAATTCACTATATTTAGATTACCTACTTAACTAATACTTAATATCTATTTTCCACAGCTTTATTCAATGCAGTGTTATGGGGCAGCTGGAGCACAAGGGCCAATTTTTACAGAAGCCAATTAACCTACAAGTATATATTTGGACTGCAGGAGCAAACTGGAGCACCTGGACAAAACCCACACAAACACTGGGAGAACATACAGTACAAACTCTACACAGATGTTATTGTAGATCTGGAACTTAACCAAGGACACCAGCACTTTGAGGAAACAAAGCTAACCACTGCACCACCATCGTGCCACAAATACTTCACATTTTGCATGAAAAAGTTTTTATTTTATAGGTCACAAACAATCTCAGAAAGTTTCGCTTTTGTATTTTGTTTTTACATAATATGAATTACCAAAGATTTTTACATTGAAAGAAAATTTAAGAAGTAGTAAAACATGCTACTTTTGCTATGAATGAGATATATAATATCTGAAAATGTCTGAGATTTCTTAGCAAAGTGTATTGTGAAGTATGACAGATTTAGGTTTACAATGTTCACTTTAATGACATGTACAGTATCAATAAAGAATACATTACTTGAGTCATATCATATACAGTACATTACACTGTTTCTCAAAAGATTTTACATATCAATTGGGTGAGCAGATGTAAAAATATTAGTGTTCTCTCCAAACCTGGCACTACAAGCATTGAGCATGTATCAATTGTATCAACATGTATCAATTTGGTCACTGGCAAAGTAGTGTGGTACCATTTAATAAGCTGTTTGGGATGGGGGAACTTGGAACTTGGAATTTTGAGAAGGAGCTCTGCTGTGTGGTAATGGCAGGATAGATCAGATAGTGTATTGGTTACAACCACATTCCACACGCACCCTCACTAATTACCTTTTTTTCCAATCACATCTCAGCTCTCTGCTATTTAAACCCTCTAGTCTCACTTTTCCACACTCAGTATTAGAGTCCCTGAGTTGTCAGCTTGCTGCCAGCTCAGTCTACTCGTTCCGCGCTATTCTCTACTTTGGATTTTCTGGATTCTCGACCTCCGCCTAGATGTTGGATTTAGCCTTCTGCTCTGCTCTTATCGGATAGTCTGCTCTCGGATAAACTAAACTAAACTAGTGTGCTCTCAGATGAACTAAATGCTCTGTATAGGGTCCAGCTGTTTATTACGTGACAATATCTAGTTATATACAGAGCATCAGAAAATGCACCTAGTATTGAACAGGTATAGGTATTCAAACTTTAATTTCCTTTCTTTACTTATACCAGGACTGATATTGAACAGGTTAAATCACCTTATCACTTATTTGAATTTTTGAATCAACTCTTTCACTAAGGGAAGTGCTGTAGGGCAACAGTGAAGGTCACTTAGGGGTATCTCAGTTTTTCATGAATGATCGATTAATCAAAATAATGCCAAAACTTTCTATAAATATCGAAATTCTATTTTTTAAAAGCAAACAGAGTATTCTTTATTGTTCTATTTAATTACTTTCACGTACAAATTTTATTTTTAGATAATAAACTTAATAAATTTTATGTTTGTGTCAAGAAGACTGACACCAGAATAAACCATGAATTTGTCATACTGCAGAATAATGAACAATTCAGTTAGTATTCTTTATAAATTTGGGACTGTTAGTGATTATTGTCGAATCATTATTAGTTACATTATTATAATTCGATTATCTAATCATTATTAGAGTTAGTGTCTTAACTCAGTAATTGCCACAGATTACTGACTGTCACGGAAACCGGTCCTGAATCCCACGTAGTGTATATTTAGCACCCTATGCAGACGGTATAATCCGGAAGTGAGTGGAGAAAGGCTACAGGGAAAATACGGTGAGGAAGAGAAGGGATGGCGAACAGAGAATGGTGCCGACAGTAATCAGGTGCAAGGGGGGAGCACAGACAAACAAGTCCAAAACAGTCCAAGCGGGAAATCCAGGCACAGTCCAAATTCCAAAGCAGGGTGACCCATCCAAAACGAGACAAGAGGTAAATCCGGATCGGGATCCGGAACAGGAATAGGAAGTTAAAAACAGAAAGACGAGGCCAGGTGCTCCGAGCTCCGGACTCAGCTGGGTCAGGGCGCCAATCGG